ATTTATTGATATTGCAATTGTGTCCAGACGCTGTATCCGTACATCCTCTCGCGGTTCCCGGCCGGAACGTCGTTCAAAAATTTGGACCACTTCAGACAGGGCCTGGCACCCGGTATGTTGACTGAAGTTCTGGCGTATAGGCCTATGTATGAGCCCGCCCATTCATTTGGGTGGCACGTTGACTTATTCTGTTTGTTATGTCCTTCAACTGCCTATAGGCTTCCATAAGTACGATTACGGGACAATCCAGAACCTCGCGCATTACGGTCAGCTGACGGCGCCCAGCTACAACCTGAGCAACGTCTTCATCCCCACCAGGCTATACTACGGGCCGAATGACCTGGTGGTAGACGCGCAGGTAAGCAGGGGGTGGTTACTCAATTTGACTTGACTATACCAGCGAGGCATCGAGGCCTCCGAGGTCTCCTGTTGGCCCGAGGTTGCGCATGCGGACAGTGTTTATTCAATACAAGCAAACGTGAGCCAACTATGTAAGTGGTTTTAATATCCGCCTAACGGGAAGAGCTGCGTCGAGTGAAATTTGTCTAGGGCGCATCATGAACAGTCTCTCCGTGCGATAAGTTTAAAAGAACAAAAACTGTCACAGGACGTCCTGTCGACGTGCGCCCAGCTTTCCAACGTGCTGAGCTGCGAGGCCGTTGATGATCCGGAGTGGACACACATGAATTTCGTCTGGGCGAAACAGGCACCCGAGCTCGTCTACAGAAAAGCCATCGCCAGGATGAAGGAGGCCGTATCTTCGGCGTAATCGTCCGCCGCTCTAAAATGGAAGCAGAGTTGTATATGTGCTAGAGACCTTAATGTGAACTAAGCAATAAATGTTCTTCATTCTGACGAAAACGCGATTTTTGCCTTCTTGCAGGCGGATATAATAATTGCAATAGTGTATTTCGACCAACGGAGGAAGAAGAAGAGCGGGTAGAACATGAAGGTTCCTGATTGGCCGAGCGCTTACCCCCACTACCGGCGTGACGTAGAGGCGGGAAGCTCTCGACCAATCGGTAACGTTTATGTTCTACCCGCTCTTCTTCTTCCCCTGTTAGTCGAAATACACTATACTCAGAAGACGGTAGCATGCTGCTAACACCTACTCACAAGCCACTCCCCACACCCACACCGCATCCCTGATGGGCAAGCCCGACATCGGGTAGGTCGGTATAGTGTCGGAATTGTATCGAATTTATGTACGAAATGTGTCGGCGTTTTTATCGTCGAGCATAATGGCATTCGTCAAGCATCTAAAACCACCAAGTGCCAGTTTCTAGGGACTGTAGTGCCTAAAAATATTACAACATTTAAATGTAAGCATTTCTCTTGTGCTTTATCGTTTTCAAACTAAATCTATTACTAGGCAACTCAAATTTCACCTACATAATTTTTTTCGGGGTGAGGTGAAGCAGTCCGTTAAGGGCGACCGGCGAGGCTTTGGGCTCAGACTCGGCACTCCCATCCGTACGTTTCTTTGACTGGGGACCGTGAAATATCCTTGGGCGCATCGGCACCGGAGCGCTCCCGCAGGCTCCGCAGGTGAGCACCAAAGAAAGCGCGGGGGCTGCCTCCTCTGCTGCCCAGCCCACCCCATACCCCATCCGGGTCTCGGCGGGGCCCCTACGAGTCTCTGCGGCCTCCACAGCCAGAGCGCTCAGCCTCCTCAGCCCTTCTGTCAGGGCGCACCAGCCTGTTAGGATCAAATCCGCGCGCCCGTCGTCTCGTCGGGGACGTGGAGGAGGAGGAGGGAGGGTGGAGGTCGGTGCGGAGGTGGCGGAGAGAGGGAAGGGCAAACCCAGAACTGGAATGGAGAGCGAAGACCGGATGCAGTGGTGCAGCAGCAACGGCAACCTGGTGGGGCGCCGGGGGGCGCAAAGGGGGAGGGGCGGTAGGCGGTACCGCGGGCATTACGATTATACGAGGATTATGATGATCTATCAGCATACTAAAGCCTGGACGCCGAGCCCTGACCGCAGCACGCTTGCACTGCTCGACGACCGGTGGTAGCGCGGTGCTATTCGCCCCACCACACCCCACCGCGCCACACCTCACCTCCACCCC